CTTATTAGCAGCTAACTTATATAAGTTTATTAGCTTTAATATAAGCTAAATTACTAATATTAAGTTAATATAGTACCTATAAATAAAAAAGAACAAACTTACTCTTATTATAGCTATATTATAACTATTAATTACTAATTAAATAAATAGTAAGTAAACTTCTTAGTTATCTTAAGTAAAGTTAATTATTATCTATAAAACTACTTAGATCTCCTAGTTAAAGTGTTTAGTTACTCTATCTATCTATAAGTAGAAAGTAATACTTAAACGTTATTTAATCTTAATAAGTATATAGAATTATTACTAGAACTAACTTATTTAGTTACTACTTCTATTACTAATAATTAACTTTAATATATTATAGAACTAATAATAATAATTTATAAAGCGTTTTATATATATTTCTATATCTATTAATATTATCCCTTTTAATATTATTATCTTTAAAAGTCTATTAACTATTACTTAAAAGTATTTAGATTCTATTTTTACTATATATAAGAGATCTATTATAAAATCTATAGTAAAGTTATAGTATAGTTATTCTACTACTAATAATAGCTAAAGGAGTTTATATTTTATTTATTACTATATTATTCCCTAGCTATAGCTATTATAGTTCCTTATAAAATAATAGATAGCTATAAATTACTTTAGCTAGAAGTACTACTAAACTAAGATAGCTAGTATATTATTTTAGCTAAAGTAGCTTATTATTACTAAGTTATAATACTTCTAAATTAACTATATTTAGAAAGTATTCTATAAATAGTTTTTATCTATTAATCCTAATACTTAAATTTAGTCCTTAAATATTAATTAGTTAAGAGCGTTTATACTATACTTAGTAATTTATAGTTTTAAGCTTAACTAAGAGGGGAAACTTTAATCCCCCCTTTTTACTATAAAGTAAGCTCCTTAGTATTAATTATTACCTACTTACACTTTATTTTAAGTATACTAAAAAGCTAAGTCCTTAAATACTAATATTTTAAAGGCTTCTATAGGTATTAATCTATATATTTTTCCTAAAATAGAGTTAGGGATTATTTATATTACTTTTCTTTTTTCTTATTTATCCTCTTAACCTTTTAGAGCGTCTTATTTATAATATAAAAGCATATTAAATATAGCTATAAAGTAACCTAGTTAGTATTTTAAGAAGAAGTTATATCTTAAAAGCTATTCTACTTAATAACTTTAGCATTCTATTAAATATTACTTTTATATAAAATATTTAAGGCTTTTATAGTTAGTTAAGACCTTAAATCTAAAATAGTTTCTTAACTTTATATCTTATACACTTAAATATATAATTACTACTAATAGCTTCTTATTATAGATTAAGTAGTTATATTAAACTAAAGTTAGCTTTTATAAGTAAAAAGTAATAAAATATTATTACCCCTATAAGTCTTTTTAGGTTAATACTCCTCTTAATATAAACTTTAAGTAATCTATCTTAATAGTTATTAAAGCTTATAAGTTAAAGTAGTATAATACTAGCATAATCTAAAAGTAGTATTTAAGCGTTTAGAATATATCTTCTTATTCTTTACTTTAGATAAATAGGACTCCTTTCTTTATAAAGAAGGTAAAAAGCTTAATAACCTCTAAATACTTTAATATAAAGATTTAGTAATAATTAGTAAACCTAAAGAAACTTTATAGCTTTTTTATAGAAGTAAGCGCTTCCTATTTAATAATTACTTATACTTTCTCTATATTATAAGTAATACTTTCTCTTATTTTAAAGATAAACTTTATATATTTTACTATTTTTATAGAGAACTTATATTTTATTAAGTTAAAGTTAAAGCTAACTTCTTTAAACGCTTAAAAGACCTTATAAACCTTCTACTTATAGTTTACTTAAGAGCTACTACTATAAACTAATATATTATTAATATATACTATTATAAAATTATTAAAGAACTCTTAGAGTATACTATTAATATACTATTAGAATATTACTAAAGCTCTACTTAGCCTAAATAAGTAGACTAACTACTTAAAAAGCTTATATTATATATAAAAAGTAGTTTTCTCTTAATACCTTTCTATTATATAAATCTTATAGAAAGCTACTATAATATTTAGTTTAATATACTACTTTATTATACTAACTCTCTAAAAAGTTTCTTAGATTAAAAGTAAAAAGTAATAGTTTTATTTTATAATTATATTTAACGCTCTATAATTATAATAGAATTATAATCCTCTACTTAGTTTTTAGATAAAGAGGATTAGTATACCTATAAGTAACTTATTAGTTTAAATAAACCTCTTATTAAGTAAGTTAGTAAATATCTTTTTAAGTATTAATAACTCTTCCCTTAATATACTATAGAGAGAGCCTTAAAGTAAAGGTACTTTTTAGCTAGAAGTATTATAATTAAAGTAGATTTTATAATTTATACTAAAGTAACTTAAGGGTAGGAGATATAATTTAGTAGCTTCAAAAAGCTCTATAAATTCTTTATAAATATATTATAGTAATCTCTTAGAATAATCTTCTAGTTTCTTTACCTTAAGCGCTTTCTTAATATTTTTTAAGTTTATAGCTTATATCCTTACTACTACTTTAAATAGCTTATTCCTACTAACCTTTTAGTAAATTACTATAAATAAGGTAGTATTTAACTAATAAGCTTTTTAGATTTCCCTCACCCTTTAAAGCTCTTCTTATCCCTATAAGGTAACTATAACTCCTACCTTCCTATAGAATATATATTTCTCTATTATATTATAAATAATATTATTTTATTCTATTTATAGTTTCTCTAAGAAGAGGTTAGTATCTAACCCTCCTACTATATAAGTAAAAAGTTACTATATATAGCCCCTAATTTTAAAGTATAATATAGCTACTTCTTTTATAATAGTTTAAGCTAAATTATTAATAAAGCTTTATAATTATTATATTTAGTAGTTAATATATAGTAAATAGAAGTAGTAAGTATACTAATAGTCTATTATTATATAGATATTATAGCTATAATCTATTAAAGCGTTAATAAGAGTACCTTTATTAACTCTAACTACTAATATTATAGAAAACTTACTTATATTACATTCTAATTAAAACTATTTCTAACTAGCTTACTCTTCCTCTATTATCCCTAATACCTAATTTTATATTAAGGTTACTTATTTCCTAAGTTAGAAGTATTTTCTTCCTTCTTAATCTCTTCTAAATCTAAATATATTATTTCCTTAATAGCTTTTACTACTCTAAAGCTATCCTTTAACTTCTTAGTCTTTTAGTAGTCTTTCTATAAGTAGCTAACTTAATTATACTTAAAATAATAATATATTTCCTTATTAAGGTTTTTATTTATTTTTTTATATAAAGTATATACTAAACCTATTATCCTAATATCCCTATTTATATCTACTTTTAGAAGTAATAACTTTATTCTAAAGGTTTTAAGCTAGCGTAAAACGTTATAAATATAGTATAATCCTTCTAATTTCTATATAATATCTTATATAAAGTTTATATATTTAGTATATTTATAGGGGGTTAAATACTTAACTAGATAATTAAGAAGCTTATATAATAATACTTTATATAAATAATTAATCTAAACGCTATTTAGCTAAATTATACTACTTACTTCTATAATAATATATTTAAAATAAAGAAAGAATAAAATAAAAGCTTTATTATATTTTATTTTAAGCTCTAATAGTCTTCTAAAAGCTTTACTTTTTATATTTAAGTTACTATAAGTGCAATCTAAGTATATTAAAAAAATATCTAGCTTAAATAAGCTATTATTACTTCTTAAGCTATAGAAAGCTATAATTACTAGCTATACTTTAAGTTTTAAATAGGAGTTAATAAAATATTATACCTCTTAGTTACTTAAGTAGAAAGCTTAATTTATCTTAATTTTATTATATATTTATTATACTTATATAATATACTTATTATAGCTTCCCCTAAATTTAGGGGGGTTAAAAAGGAGCTTTAAGCGCTAAATACTACTTATTTCCTAAGTAATATCTAGTTTAGAGAGTAGTAGTAATATTAGTAGTAATACTAATAGAGTTATTATAAAGTTTAGTATTATTAATACTAATATATTATTAGTTATTATTATTTATATTAGATCTATAGCTAGCTTATTATTAATCTACTATAGGATTATTAGGTTATTAAGTTAGTTATTAAGCTTATTAATAGCTATATAAATTACTTTAAACACCTCCTTATTTACTAATATTAGTTTTAAGCTAGCTACTTCTAGCTTAATTAGCTCTATTTTCTACTTACTATCTATTACTCTATATAATTAGTAAAGTAAGCGTTTAAATTAAGCTTAGATATATAAAGAGCTAGCTTTTAGTTTATTTAACTTAGAGGTACTTTAATTATAAAAATCTAAGCTAAAGAGGGGAGAGTTCTAAGAAGCCCCTTATATAGAGGAAAAATAGGTATAGGGTAGTAGTTAAGTAAATATAGTTACTAAGGGCAGAATTCTCTTAGGTTTATAGTACCACTTAGATGTTAATAATAGGCGTAGCCTGTAATATCAACTCCCGTTTTCTTTGGACAGATAGCTTGAATCTTTCGCACAGTTGAATAGCACCCAGCGAATTTCGAGATAGTACCGAGCGTAATTATTGATTATTCAGACCAAATCATCACTCCCCCAATTCCTGTCCTCAAAAGGTGTGTCAGCTCTGCCCCCTTACAGCGGCCGAAGCACTTCAACCGAGGCATACTGACTGTCTCCTACAGCTCTCTAGAGCCGTCTGATTTTCGAGCCGAACTGAGGGAGAAAGGGTTTTGTGTCATCAAGGGGGCAATCCCAAAGGATCGAGCCAACGACTATCAGCACAAGGCTCACGACTGGCTCCTCTCATTCGGCAAAGGGCTCAAACTCGACGATCCTCAGACTTGGACGGAAAGCAACCTCCCGTTGACAAACAAAATTCGTGTATACCATGGCTACTGTGTTGCCCACGAGAAGTTCATGTGGGATGCCAGAATGGAACCCGGTGTTCTTGATGCCTTTAGCCGCCTATGGGGTACAGACGAGTTGCTCGTCAGTTTCGACTGCCTGAACATCACCCTCCCGAACCGACCTGATCTGCCGGCCAGAAAGGCATGGGAGCACATTGATCAGAGCCCGATGAAGCGCGGGGTTCATTGTGTTCAGGGAATCATCAATCTATCACCCAATGGCCCCGAGGATGGAGGTCTAGTAGTGTACCCAGGGTCCCACAAGCTTAATGACGAGTTCTTCGACACTCATCCCGACGTTGCCCTCCTGCCAAACAACAAAGACGTCTACCTCTTCTCCAAAGAGGAGTTGGCCTGGTTTGAAATTCGCGGACTGCGCCCGCACAAGGTGTGCGCCGATGTTGGCGACCTGATCATGTGGGATTCTCGAGTCATTCACTACGGCTCAGATCCTACACCCTCAGGAGACACAATCAGAACGGCCATCTACGGGACGTATCAGCCGGCGAGACTTGCGAGTCCGGAGCAGTTGGCGCTGAAGAAGAACAAGTTCGAGCACTTTGGCAGCACGACGCACTGGCCTTATGAACACATCACAGCTGGTCCTACCTACGCTATTCTGCCGGACGGAACAAGGGATCCTCATGATCGTGACGAGCCACTCGAGAAGCCGTACCTCACGGACAAGCTACTGAAGCTCGCGGGTGCCAGACCATATTAGTCGGTTCCGCCATGTTGAAGCCAATACCATCCACCATTGGGGTGTCGCTGGGGGGATTAGGAAGATCTAGCCTGAATCAAGGAGACTTTCGTTACGTTCGTTTGACTACAGCAACAACCTACCATTATCATCTTTTCTTTCCACGGTCGTCCAGTAAACAGAATGTAATACAAATTGTAAAGGTCTATCGTTATTACTATCATTATTTTTGGCATTATCATCATTGTCGCTGTCGTCGTCGTCGCTGAACTCGTCGTTATCTTTCCTCACTTTCTGCTAAAAATACAAACCTCTAATGACGTATCAAGTTCCTGGGAACGAACTACTTCCGATAGCATTGCGAATGCCAGTGTTCACTCCCGAAGTCAACGCGGAAGCAAATCAGCATAACGCCTGGAGACCGAAGTGCATGGAGTACAGGTCGCGCGCGCGTGGCCTTGGCTTATCTGGGTCAACCCCAGGAAACGCTGCGGGGTGGGTCTTGCGGGGAAATGAAAGGTGTCGGAGATGCCAAGTGAATTTAGTGGATCATCAGAAATATCCCGTCGTTTAAATCGATAGAGCGTCGGCTTATCGTGAAATCACAGGTGCATTACCCGTTGTCATTCTCGCCGAGACATCGCGAGTAAACCAAGCTCAACGATGCCAAAGGTTTGCCACTAATTGCAACTTGGGATAAGCAGAAGCAATGACCTATATTGTTCTTGATCGCATACACATTCACTCTGTCATTCTGTCTCGGTTTGCCATAGACAACAGTATCCACAACAATGGGCCTACTTGGTTTTGACGGGCCCCTTGGTCCGCTCCAGTTTTACAAGTCGAGCAAAGTCACGATTGCGCTGACTATTCTTGCATCGTGTGTTTTTTCAACGGTAAGTCTGACGTCAGCTACGCTCATTCTGGGCGAATACCGGTCCATTCCTGCTTGCAGTCATTTCTTGGGACTAACAGCTGAAACAGACAACGGGATACGACACTGCGCTCATGTGTGTCTCTACTTGCTCATCAGTTCTCAATACCAACTGACAACACAGAAACGGCATAAACATACTCCCCTCGTACAATGAGACTCTCAAACTTACCACTGCAACAAAATCTCTCAATGCTGCTGCCTCGTTCCTCGGTTGGGCAATTGTGGCGACATTCATGGGGCCAGTCGTGGACCGGGTCGGCCGGCGTACTGGTGTCTTGATTGATCTCTATTGTTCTGAAAATTATTGGTGTTGTCTTCATGACTGTCGCCCAAAATGTGGCTATGTTCGTCGTCGGGCGAATGATTCTAGGGGCTGGGTCAGGGACTTCCTCCATCGCATCATCGTCGTATGTTTTTGAGTTCATTCGCGTCTGCCCGAAATCGAGCATTGTTAGCTGACTTTGGGTTGTTCAGGTGGCTCGCGGAGACACTGCCCACAAAATACCGAGCCTCTGGCTTGACCTTTATCTTTACTATCTACTACGTTGGTCAGTATTTTCCCCTTTTACCTGATCAGTATTTGGCCGTCTGACAAATTCAGGCGCTCTCATAGCTGCTGGTGTCACGTACCGGACCTCCCAAATATCTGGCGAGTGGTCCTGGCGGCTGCCTTGCATGTTGCAGGCTGTCTTCAGCCTATTCTGCCTCGTCGTGCTTCTCTTTGTCCCAGAATCTCCCCGCTGGCTAGCTCATAAGGGCAGACTGCAAGACGCCTTGGCGTCAATTGCATCAACTCACAGCAATGGAGATCAAGATGATCCAGCTACACTGATACAGCACCGAGAGATTGTCGACATATTGGAGTGGGAGCGCTCGTCCGGCCAGAAGATGACGTATGCGGAGGTTTTCCGTACTCCAAGCTCGAGGAGACGTTTGATGCTAGCGGTTTCGATGGCAGTCCTTGCGATGTCGAGTGGTCAGAGCGCCCAAGCACCCAAGGGCGGCCTGTTGGTCTCGAGGCGATAAAGCTGACATCCGCCCAAGGTAACAACATTGTTTCGTATTACCTGGGAGACATGCTCACGAAGGCCGGGATCAGCAATTCACAGACACAGCTTCAGATTGTGAGTCTTAACCGTAATGCTCCAGCACAGCTTATCGTGTGGTTAACACTCGAGACAGAACATTGTTCTAAGCTCTTGGTGTCTTATCATTGCCTGTATCGGAACGTACCTCATGAACATCGCTGGCAGGAAGACAATGTGTCTGATCTCAGTCGGTTTCATGACAGCATTCCTTTTTCTGGTTGGTGCTCTGACGAAAGGTGGGTTGTCTCACGATGTTGCAGTGCCTCAAATATCGGCAAGAGTCTAATCATACGTCCTGTAGTCTACGGGGGCGGTGAGAATACTTCAGGTGTTTACGCAACTGTGGGTTCTGTCTTCCTATTCCAAGGAAGCTACGCGATTGGCATCACCCCGCTTACAGTCCTCTATCCACCCGAGGTGCTCAATTATTCAATTCGGAGCAATGGAATGGCAGCCTGGACGTTCGCAATCACATGTGGCGGGTAAGTTCTTCCTACCGCGAAGTTGACAGCATGGATGTTTTACTAACCCGAGAACAGTCTATTCAGTGTTTTTGTCTGGCCCTTTGCTCTTGCTGCCATCGGTTGGAAGACTTACATGATCAACGCTGGATGGGATGCCGTTCAATTCGCCTTTGTGGCGTATTTCTGGATCGAGACAAAGGGACTTACCCTGGAAGAAATCAATGCCAAGTTTGATGCACTGCATGAGACAGACAGTTATGGCACTGAGGGTTTGAGCCGAAGCGGCATGGTTCTTGAGGGGGTTGCAAAAACGACAAGCATAGACGCGGCTAGCTCTGTCAAATTGCAGAAAGACGGCAGCAAAACCGCCACTGATAATCTTTAAACAAACAGTCAGAGGAAGGCGAAGCGGTCTTGCATTATGGGCATGTATTACAGAGAACTCTGTTCGGGTATGGTTGTCGATGTTTGGGAGGATATGTTCAGATTGACGGATGGAATCGAATTTGGGATTCTCGAAACGTCCTTCACTGTTCTTAACTATTCTATTATTCTCCTTTGAAGGTGGAAACATATGTATAAGTAAGTATTCACATACCCATCCGAATGTGGTTGTGTGGTTGAAGAGGGCGACCTTGAGCATTCCATTGTATTGCATTCTCTTGGGTTGAGGCGTATGTGACATTTCTCTTCCAAGACGCACTACCCGCAGCGAAGCCACTATTCATCGCATCAATTTGTCTCAAGAGAGAAAAAAGTCATTGAAATTCCATGGGATTATAAGAAACAAGTATCAGGCAGTGCAGGAGCCCTGATTGAGAAGCCATCCAAGACCAAGCATTCTATCGTTCCGGAACTTTTCACACATTAAATGACTTGGGTACAGATACCAGAATACATGAGGAAGACCCGAGTACATGTCCAATTTGGTTTTGAGGCCATGTTCGTGCCTCAAAACCCGTTCGTAGACCAGCCCATCATCTCTTTGAATGTCAGCTCCACAAACCTGGAAGTATGTCGGCGGAAGAGCCTCATGCCCGGTGCTCCAATTCAGCGGGTTCCAGAAATCCGATTCAATGTCTGGAGCAACAGCTGCTCGGAACACAGCTGTTGTCTTCTTTGACAAACCGGTCTTGCCGTCGTTGTCATCATTGCTTCGATACCAACACTTATACTTGGTCGGGACGGCATCTGGCTGCACAATGGACGTTGCATTAAGATACACGCCGTTCAGAGAAGGTGACAATGATTGATCTCGGGCCATGTGAGATAATGCTGCAGCCATTTGGCCACCGGAGGAGGTGCCGCCCAGGACAAATCCCTTGGTCAAATCTGCCCCAAGGACTTCAGCGTTTTCGGTTAACTTCATCATGGATCATTTGGGTCAGCCAAAGGACACATAGACACGGGCGACGGTAGCGAGGTTGACGTACCCAATGTAAAGCGTCCCAACAATCTTCATACGCCACTGGAAACTTAGCCTCGGGTGAGAGCCGGTAATCGAGGCTCAATGATACGCAACCATGAGCCTTTGTCGCCTCAATGCAAGCCGTTGCCTCCATCTCGGCAGATCCAAATAGGAAGCCCCCGCCATGGATCAGAACAACCGCAGGTGCCTCAAGCGCGGTGGTCAACTTTGGTCTGAAGACTAGAGCACGTCCCGTTGTGCCGTCTCGGCGCGGAATGAGAATCTCACTGAATGACACTTCGTTTTTGGCGGCCTCCAAAAAGGTCAACATGTCTCGGGTCATTCCCTCCACCCATGCTTCCCGAATGGATGTGAGTTTGGAGACATCGACAGGAGGAAATCTTCTCGAGACATTATCCTGGATCATCTGGCCCTTAGGTCAGTGAAGTAGCAAATACTACGAGCCTCCGTTGCCTACCTGACGAAGTTCATCGTCAACTAAGCCCCAGTAATGCCATGAGCCGGGGTCGTCGATGTTAGCAAACATCTCGGGTTGCTTTTCGTGGTGCATTATTGTCGGCTCAAAAAGTCAAGTGGGCCGGCAGCTTGCAAATCGGACCTGGTTTTGTTCCATTTCGTTCGCCAGCCGGAACAAAATAATACACATCGTTATGGGTCTTGAGGCTCACGAGCGTCTTGGGCTCAGATTTGCCCTAACTCACCTCAAGTGTGCCTCCTGAAGTGCTGCCTGATCTCTGAACCCCAAACGGCTGGCTGTCGAAGAACAGAGTTAGTCGTGTTATGACCAACTACGCACATCCATGTAAACGACGGCGTATTCATTGGACACCCTTCCCCGCCCACATCCCGCGGGTATGGTGCGTCGTTCCCGCGGATGCAGGGAGCAAAAAGGTTCCTATCAGTCGGGCCAGTCCTAAACTTCGCATTCGTAAACGACGGGGTATTCTGGGGCGCGGAAAACCAGGGTGAGATCCGACCCTATCACCCCGGATGACAGATACGAGATAGCCGACATCTGTTTGCCTGGCGGAGGCTTGTCAACTCCATCAACCAGAGTGAACCCCAGCTAGACGAAAGCCTTCAGACAACTGGGTCGCAACAGGCAGTGCCTCAGCTGAAGTCTGACACAAAAAGTCACAATTACTGCTGCAGCTGCCGCAATGGGCCGTAGGACCACTGCATGCCAGAGGTGCAAGTCCATCAAGGCCCTTTGCACACGGGAGCTCCCTTGCACCCGTTGCCGCCGGTTATCACTCGCATGCTCCTATGACGCGAGCTCGGGGGGCCGGCTCACGGCTCTGCCCCATGTCGACAAAGGTGGCAAGAAGAAGGCAAAGCACCGCAAGTCTGCGACGGGTTGTTTGAATTGCCGGAAAAGGCGCAAGAAATGCGACGAAAAGACACCTACTTGCACCGATTGCAAACGATTGGGCTTTGAATGCAACTGGCCGACATCCGAGGCTGGTGAAAGTCGCGACAGCCACTCTGACCCAAACCACAGCCCACCTCTGCTGTCGAGTAGTGATGTGCTTGTCAGCAGTCCAGACCTGTTCCAAGAATGGGCCGACGTCGATGTTCCGGATGGCAGCCATCCGTCTTCTCAGTTGACCTCGTTCTCTAATTGGCTTTCACTTATAGAATCGGATGATCGCCTCGAGACGAGAAAGGCTGCGGCTCTCGCAAATAGCACAGCCCTTGTGGGCTTAGGCATGCCATGCGCCAGCGATGATGAGCTGGGTTTGGCTACATTCCTTCCATCCACAGCTCTCAATAACCTGACTGGAGTAACGCCACAAGTGTTGAAGAGCTGGACGATCGTGGAGAGGCACTTGCTGAACCATTTCCTTTAGACTGTGGCTCGCGTGCTGGCAGTCGTAGATGATCGCTTCAACCCATTTCTACGTGTCATCGTGCCCATGGCACTCGAGCAACCGGCGATGCGCCACGCGCTAGTAACCTTATCTGCCAGTCACCTGTCGCAAGTCTACCCAGACTTTCAACACGACCTATTCGTTCACAGGAGTCAGACATTACAAGCACTGATGGCCGAGCTGGACGACCACCGAGAAGGCTCCGTGTGGCCACTCGCTGCGACGTTGCTGCTTTGTCTGGCGGAGGTAAGTGCTGTAAATCTGGAGTTATCCTACCGGGACTGACAGTATCTAGGTATGTCTCGGAGATTCAAGAAGATGGCTGTTCCATCTCCATGGAGCTAGATCTCTTCTGCTCGAGGCCAATACACTATCAGGGCCAATGCATGCACTCATCGAGATATACAACTATCTGGCGTGCATGGCATCAATCACCTCCGACAACGCTCCTGAAATATTCGGTCGTTGTCTAACGAAGTCTGACACTAACCCAAAAGCAACAAATGAGCATATAATACATCCTCTCTTTGGCATTTCGGTCGACTTATACGAAACACTTACACAAATCAACAAACTTGCTTCTCGTCAGGTTCATGGAAATCTCACCGACTTTCAATCAGAAGCTAGAGAAATTGAACTAAGACTTCAAAGTTGGCAGCCGCCGCCCGTGGAGGATTCTCGACAATTGACCGAGGCCAGAGCGGTTGGTTTTGCTCTACAATGGGCCATCATCATGCGTCTTCTGCAGGTAACGAAGCGGATGCATAACGGAGATGCACAGATGAGGAAAGGGTCAGACAACATACTTTCGGCGCTTTCGCTCATACGTCCAGGCTCCGAAATGGAGGCCCGTATGCTTTTCCCGCTTTTCATGGCCGGAGTCTGCAGCATGACGAAAGCAAGCCGCTTGACAGTTGAGTACAGGCTTAATGCTATGGAAACCACAATTGGATTCGGAAATATCTTTGTAGCCCATCGCCTCTTGGATGAAGTTTGGAGACTGTCCAATCAGCATGAATTTGTGAACTGGGAGGAGCTCAAGGAAAGGAAGTATCCAGGTCTCGTTCTCTTTTAGCATATCAATCCCCGAGAGGGCTTTCACAAAATGCGTTCTAAAATTTTCAAAAGCGGTAAGCTCAAATACAAGCAAGCCAAATTGAGCGTTTCAATATTCCTAAATTCGGTCGTTTTCGTACGATTTGGGTCGATGCATCAAGTCAAATTATTGGGGCCTTGCTTTGCGAGCACGCAGGCCTAGTACTACGGACGATAGAGACGATAGAGACGATAGAGATAATGAGAAGTTCAACAAAAAGGACAACGATAGTATGGAAGATGAAGTACGACTTAATGATTGTGTACTTCGCCCGTTTGACTTGGAACATGTTCCCTGGGAGCAAAGCTTATCGCGCTTACTTCGCCATCTTTGGCATCCGACGGGATGTAACCTTCTACGATACGAACGGTTCGAAGGTCATTGGAATATGGTCGCAGTGCAGCGGATAAAGATAGGAACACGGATCCGGGCCGCGAACGCGGTCGAATCGGGTGTTCGTAAGCATCCCCCGGCTCCGAGACGACGACCCATTTATCCCGTCGTTTAGATGATAATCAACTTTTGCCGCGTAGATATATCTTTCCCCTCGACTCTCAAGCCAACTTCTACGATTCCCACTGCGGCATGAAACGTGACAAGCCAGAACCGACAATCAATTCAATTCAACATGAAGACTATAAAATCCTGCAAGGCAGAGTTCCCCAAGCCCGCGAGGCGAATCGCTGGACAACGGCAGGATGTCTGGTTGGTTAGCTCTCGCTTCTTTTCGGACAAACACGAAGCTGACTTTTGGAAAAGGACCACCATCAATGATGCTGCCGCTAGGTCGATGGTTTGTAGTCGTAATAGTTCGTCTGGGGAACATCTCTGACAAGCACTGCAGGTCAAGCCGGTAGTCAATATGGGCCAGGGTTTTTTGTGTGCCAAGCCCTTCTCTATGACACCATGAGTAGAATCTAATACCAGTATCAGCGGTTACAACCCTCCGCAGTTCATCATGGACGCGGCAAAAGAAGCAGTTACGAAAGTAGACTCGAATCAGTATTCGCCAACAACAGGAAGACCGTCACTTAAGCGCGCCATAGCGGAGTCGTACTCTGAGGCTTTACAGACTAAGATTAACCCAGACACGGAAGTGGCTATCACGACGGGAGCCAATGAAGGTATGAATCTAACCGTGCCGGCAGCGGACAGCTATTGAAATGGAGGTACCAAGACACGGCGCTAATTTCTTCTCAAACTCGCTAGGCATGTTATGTGCCTTCCTCGCATTCGTAGACGATGGCGATGAGGTCATCGTATTTGAACCGTTCTTTGACCAGTAAATCAGCCACATCGAAATGGCGGGTGGAAAGGTGCGATATGTGCCTCTCAACCCGCCCAGGAGCGGAAATCACACCACGTCTTCGTCAGCCGCCTGGGCTGTGGACATGGAGAAGCTGCGGGACACAATCAGTCCACGAACTCGAATGATCGTCATCAACACTCCCCACAATCCAGTGGGTAAAGTGTTCTCCCGCAGCGAACTTGAGGAAATCAGCCAGCTTTGCGTTGAGAATAACATCATCATACTGTCCGACGAGGTGTACGACAGCCTTCACTACGTCCCTGTTACACGCGTCGCCACTCTTTCGCAGCAAGTTCGCGACTTGACACTCACTGTCGGTTCAGCTGGGAAAAGCTTCTACGCGACAGGCTGGAGGATTGGTTTCCTCATCGGCCCCCAGCACCTCATCAAACACGTGAGCGCCGCACACACTAGAGTGTGTTACTCGAGCCCAAGCCCGTTACAGGAGGCTTGTGCTACCGGCTATACGCTGGCGGGGGTAAATGGATTCTGGGAGGAGTCGCGCAGCAGCATGCAAGGCAAGATCAAGCGGTTCGTCGAGGTTTGTGACGAGCTTGGGTTGCCATACTCCGATCCGGAGGGCGGCTATTTCGTCTTGGTCAACTTTTCAAAGGTCAAGATCCCCGACTCATATGAATTTCCAGCACATGTCGCTTCCCGCCCCCGAGATTTCAAGTTGAGTTGGTTTCTTATCATGGAGCTGGGAATCGCAGCTATACCTCCTACCGAGTTTTATCTTCCGGATAATGCATCTTTGGCGGAGAACTATTTGAGATTCGCAATGTGTAAGGAGGATTCGGTGTTGGAAGATGCAAAAGGTCGTCTCCGTGGTCTCAAGAAGTATATTGATCCGTAGAGGCATCTGCGTGAAGTAGGATCGGGCTACTATGACAGTATAACATGTTTGTTACATTCAGGTAGACTGCAGGAGAATTCAGACTTCAAGAACGTACGCTGTTGTCGCTCGACCCACTACGCTGTTTTTACCTCGAGTCTCATAAACTATAGCATTATTCAGCCTCAAGTTACGTCTTTATGGTTGGGACCAATTCATGAGTTTTGCTATCCAGGCTAATATTCGTAGGTGACTGGGTGGGTAGTAGGTACAAGCGATAATGGGACGACGACGAAGACGACAATAGGGACAGGGTGAGGGATAGGTAGAGGGAGAGCAAGGACAACAAAGACAACAGGTACGACAAAGACGATAGGAGTAATCAGGATCATAGGGGGGATAAGCCATTTAATACAAATTATCTGGCCAGTGAGCTAGAAGTATGCGTCTAAATAGCAAGGCCCATCTTTATAGCTTCTTTTTGAAATGTTATCCTTATTGCAGGTATTGTTATAATTGCCGCTACTCCTCTTATCCTTTTTATTGTATTTATCATAATGCTCGTCCTTGCTTTTGTCGTCATCACTGTCATAGTATGTGCGACGCATGAAGCTTCGGAGAGTTCAGAGACCTTGCTGGGTAGGACACCAATTCCCACGTGCTCCCGCCCAAGTCTCTATTATACATACCTACTATCAACTTCCAAGGTATGAAAACCTCAGGCTAACAAATCTTTTATCAACCTTGAGTTTGAGATTTTGGGGCTTCTCTGATTTAATTCATGGACATATCTGCTTGCAACTTCAGTGGGCTATGTGACTTCAGCCGGTCGATCTCTTCGACATTGGCCGAACTCCTATATGGGTCATACCAACGGCGCTCTGCCAACGCCATGTTCCTCTGCACCTTCAGCCTATCGTCCCTGATTTTGTCGGGAATCCCGCGCCCCCCACCTTCGAGGTTCCATCCATGCAGGGTGGTGTCAAAGAACGCCCGTGTTCGCCTTGTATCTCAGGTGCCATGTCAGATCCCAAGCATCACCGTCGGATGGGCGAATAGCCGACGATTTTCTAGTATCTCGCAGCTTGCAGCACCATCGAAAAGTCAAATCCCAAAATTGTTCTTGGGACCTCCAAAGAGGCATGACTCAAGGTTATTGTTGGCACCTCCAGCGAAGAACAACTTCAAGTTGTTGAATCCGCCGCTAGCATGCATGAAAGATGTGGATGTCTATAACGGCAAATGCATACCAACCTACACGTGGCCAAACTTGCATCCCCTCATCCATGGCATTCGGCATCACCAGCTATTCGCCTTCTCTTCAGAAGTTGCCGACTTATGTTCACGACCTGGGAATGAGCTATGTGCGAGGGCCCGTAACGCTCGTCTCATCATGAATAACATAATACCGGAGATGCCAACAGATGCAGTGACGCCTTACTGCATATGGTATCCCGATATAGCCACAGAAGAGACGTATCGCGAACTATCTCGGCGCTATCCAAGAATGCGGTACCAGGTCGGAAGAGCTTGTGCAGTTGCAGGCTATAATAAACTATTCGACGAGCTGCAACTGCTTCCAGACGTCTCCATTGCGGAAGAGGCTGAAGACAACAACAACGCCTACATCCGAGATGCTATCATAAGCAAGCCAGCGAGGTACGCAGTTATGAACGACTACACCAGGACCATCGATATAGATGAACCGAGAGCCGGCGCGTGCCTTAACGGTGACACTGCGGTCAGGTCATCTCTCGAAAAGAAGCGTCCTCATGGCCACGATACAGAAGAACGTGACTTTCTCGAATATTCCTCTCATTACTTCGACATCCAAGAGGACCGCCACGTACGCCCCGAGCATTGGCGAGGCCCTGAGCATACGGTTCTACAAAGCCAGTATGCGGACCTGATTTACAAGCCACTGCCCCGTGATCTACCACCTATCAACAAGGATATCGTCATCATTATGGCTGCTTGGGACGGGAACATTGATCGCTATTCACGGTTAAGGCGCCCGCAACCTGTTGAAAACGAGATCTCGGCCGTCATTCGCGGAGCATACCATCATACTCCCTTTGCGAGGTGGCTTGAAACCTGCCTAGAAGACCTTTTCCCTGACGAGTCGGAAAGCGTGCTAGTTCGACAAGCCATAAACGCCCGTTTTATCATGAATAATGATCTGTACAGGATAGACAGGTTTACACACGGAGATAGCCTTCCTGAATTCTTCTGGTGGCCTCATTGCCCACATCCAATAACGCTACGGGAGTTTGCATGGCGGCGGCCCGATATGACGCATCAGATTGCTCTTGCATGTATCGCTGGCGAATACCGAGAGCTGTTTGACGAGTTGGCGGTCAATTTGAAGCCAACAGCTGAGATGTGGGGGGTTGCTCAACAATGTCCAGACGAGTATTATCGAGAGCAGGTCAAGAAATGCGCACACGCCCAGGGAGTAACGTTGTACAGAATTTTCTCGGCAGGAAGCCACAGATATCTTGGACGTATAAAGGAAATGTACAGAACGAGCTATCTCGTGCATTTACCCAAAGAGCTCCACAATACACCTGACGAACACGACGAGGACTGGGAGGAATGGCACCACCCAGCGGGTGAACTGTTCAATTATCACATGCATTCTCAAATCGCGGATTGGCAAACCTTCATAAGCGCAAAGGATGATGCTATAGAATTGTTGGGAAACACAGACGGATGTTTCTATCACTCATCTGCAGACGATCTTAGACGACGTTCAGAGCCGGGCCCTGAGCCACCTTTTCCGAAGAAGTTCGACTCAGATGAGGACGACACAGACGAGGACGACATATACACATGGTAGCGCAATCTGCAAAAAGGGTCTCGATATCTAGGTAGGTATGGGGTTTTCACTGAAAAATCGAATAAGGGCTGCATATTTCCATAAAGTCTTGAGCTATTCGCGGCACAATGGAGATAGAGGCGGGAGCGATGACGGGTGCGCTGAGAAGGACATGGGGAATGACGGGAAGAACGTCACGGTTGAGAAGGAAGGGGGACATGCGACGAGATCCATATGAAGAAACTGGGCAGTAATCATTTCCAAAGCTCCCCTCGAAGACAACACTCTCCACAGATACCATGATACACAATGAATACACTCACTCAACTCACTGCACATTGAAGGCCCAACGACCGAACATCTGGCATTCCCACAATTAGGGCTTGAGCTAGAGAATCGCCGGCCCAGGCCTCGCCGGTTGTCCGGTTCACAATCGAACAAGATCGAGAAAAGGCCTCTCCAGGAACTACGTCGTGTCATGAACAGCCGATAAGACATTATCGTTGCTGCAACTTGCACATTGGGAATGTTTCACGAGTGGAAGAAATTTCGCAAATTCTTCTGATACCTCTCTCCTCCAATTTTCCAACGCCGTTTCTGTCCCTCGTAAACATGGGTATCTCATGTTCCAACGGGCGCTGGGGGCCAAAAATTGTCGCGTGCCGTCAACCCCATCGAAGCGATCGTCTCGGGCTCCGCGAAGTTTCTTCAAATTTTTCCGCGTCAATTTTTGGCAGCACACCGCAAGGACCTCCTGTCGATCGGTCAGGATTCTTTGACGAGGGAAGCGAGAGACGACTTGCCAAATTAACAGCAATCTGGGATGGCCCTGCAGCGTCATTTAGACGGTTCCAGACCGTGGCTCGGGGTGAGCGCACGCCACATGTGGCGCGTGGGGGAGTTTGCGAGATAACGGTGCGAGGTTGAGTCAGGGACTTGTCGTGAATCTCGGCGGTCCCGAAATAGCTCGGGTGGCATGTTGAGATATAAGACTATGACGATGGAAACAATTGACGGGACTGAAATATCCAGCAAACTCGAGCTTCAGCACTTAATAATATCGAATCTATTAATTCAGACTTTGTCGTCACCTCAATCTTCGTCATGGTTTCCGCAACAGTTTTGTTCACAATTGCGTAAGTGGCTAACAAACCCACGATCGTGTTCGATTCCCAGCTTACAAGTCATAGCGCGTGCATCGCCGGCTCAGCAGCGTCCATCGCAGACTGCGTCGGAGAGAACTACGCCGGCGTCTGCATGGATGCCGGCGCTCCTGGTCTCGCCCACGACGGACTTACACAGAGCTGCTGCCAACCTCCCCACGGCTCAACGTACAATGACGGTCCCGGAGTATTTGTAGGTTTGCCCTTTTCGGAATTTCCCAGAAAGCCGTGTAACTAACATCTTTCCCTGCAGTGCTGCGTACGAGGAACCGAAGAAAACATCAAATACCTGCAGGCATGCTGCTCAGGCAGCGGCCAGAGAGACGTCATTTTCAACCACGCCGGAAACCTTTGAATTCTGAAAGATTACATCTTAAAAACATGAATGCACAAGCGGGCTGGGCTGGGATAAACAAAAGTTTTCGATTTTCAGGGATATAGACAAAAATCGGGTTCTCACGACATAGACAAAAGTTGATTCATTTCAAATCATTGGTAGACAAAAGTTTGTTAGAAAGGGGAAAAAAGGATGGACAAAAGCTTTCACTTTTGCTAAGATAGACATGATACCATCTTCACACCTGACTCTGTTGCCCTGAGGTTTGACATGTGTGAATGTTTCGTGTGTCTGGGTATTTCTCAGGCAATTGCTGACCTCTTTACGGCATAAGCAACGACGACGATAGCAACGAAGATACCAATAAGGACGAAAGCAACGCCGACAGCAGATACCAACAACAGCAACAAAAACTAAAGTAACAAAGGCGAATTGATAAAGTAAGCCCCAGCTACTCACAGGTCATCCCAGCTCAAAACAAATCGCACGAGTATTCAAACACTATAGAATTCCATCAAATGAACACTTGCCCTTACATCACCAACTCCAAGAAACCCCAACGCGAGCTACAGATTTGCACATGAAGCCCGTCCTGCATACTCAATCCAGCCTTTTCATCTGACAACATCCACAGCGAGAGATTCTTGTTTTGTTGAGAAAGGGGGCCAGTGCCACGCAGCGGCCTGAAAAGCCGACGTTACGAGCAGCAAGCACCCTCCAAAATCCGAACAATCGCAACTCCCAACTCCGAAAAGCCTCACCTTGTTTTTTTTGTTTTCCATCCCATGAAGGTGCATATCACGAGATGCCCGTTGTGCAGATGACAGGACGACGTCTCACCAATGTCGCATCTCCCGAAGCTTTGGGGCCTCCGACGGCGCTAGTGGAGCCGAGATTACCGCCGGCCCTCCAGGACGGGACGACGCCAATCAGGGTTGCCTCGGCATCAGGTCGAGAGAAAACAGCCCCGGAAAGCGCGGGCCACTCGACCGACGATGGACGACAACAGCAGCAATAAGGGGCATCATTAGTCAACTGCCATTTGATCCTTCGCCGAGAAGCCAAGACTATGGCGTCAGACTTCACTTGCGTCACGGTTTTACATGTTTCAAAAGTGGCGTGATGTTCGATAGGTATGAAGTAAGATAATCAAAATGATAGATTCATTCAACTCATGTGGTATCAAAAAACGCCTTGCCAAATAAGCAACCAAATGACTATGCTAATGATGATGTCCGTCGTCCGACCCGTTGCCGGGCTTCGTCCTTGTCTCTCCTTAACTTGGACGGTGTTCTTCTGTATTTCGCTCTCCTGTCGATCCAGGGCTTCTCTACCGCGCAAAACAAACACGCATTGACTAGGCCCTGTATTGACAGGCTCACTAGTGATAGGAGCACGACCGCAAACGGGCCGGCTTGTTCTGGGTTGTCCCAGCGCATGACGTGGGCCACGAAGGGGACGGCCCAGATAAGTATGTATACAAGGGGGTACACGAAAAGTAGACGTAGTTGACGGCGGATCTTGTCGCGCGTCTTGGCCATGCCTGTGCCGTCCATCGCTGGGTGGAACAGGAAGGGCGTGGCGTTGTGGTCGGCATCCGAGTCGAGCGTTGTGCCGCGCCGGAGGATGGACCAGATGTTAGCCAGGGACTTGGCGCGGGCTGTCGTCGGGCTGTGTGGCGGGTGGCCGTAAGTGCTGAAGCTGTGACGGTGGGGATGGTAGTTGTAAGACGGGCTCAGGTCGATCGTGTCCCGTCGGATGTAACTTTGCGGAGGTGGAGATATTGGCTCGAACGTGGCAGATAAAGGACTGGTGCTGGGGTCAAGGCCAGTGTGTTCCACACTCTCATCCTGCTCGGGAATGCGGCCGTCCTCGTTTCCATACGTCGGCCAGTTCCACTGAATCTTTTGGCGGCTGTGAATGAGTTCAATGTCCGCCGTCATTGTGGTGGTCGTTGATGAAGTCCGCTGTCTTTCCGAATCCTCCATCGAAGTTTCTGATCCGCGACGTGAGCTTGGGGTAGGAGGCACTGAAGGAATGTGAGCCCAATCGTCGTGCATGTGCGTCGCACTTGCTCTTCTCATAGCGCTGAGGCGACCGAATCGTCGAATGCGAAGGGTGACGTATGTGTAGATATAAGCATATAAGGCGACGATGGTGAGCAGAATCATGTATCGAGGAACCCAACTGAGCGCAAGCCTGGTCCATTCTGGGCGAACGGGCAAGTAGCAGTATTCGCCGTTGTTCGCATAACCGGGTGAGTTGATGAAGGCTAGAGAGGCCATCAATAGTGGCAGGAGGATAAAGACGGCGAATGCAATCCGGCGGTGGGGGTAGAGGCCGCTTTGTCGACCGGAATATCTGGGGCGGAAAATGTAGATGGCCGTGTGTAAGGCGATGAGAACGACGGCAATATCAGATGCTTCAATGCCGACCGAAAGGAAGAAGCCGCTCGCTTGGCAAAATGAAGAGCTGGAGGGGATCGGGCCATTTCTGAAATCGGCGATGGGGAAAATGATGAACCATAGCGACTTGAGCATGTCGCTCGACATGAGCAGCATTATGAGACTAGCCATGGTTAGCGATGTTCCTGGTTGACGCTCATGACCCCTCTGGCGAGGGTGTCTGGGTAAAACGTGACTTACTCATGTCTGAAGCTCCGTCTCATGCGGGAAAACCAGTAGAAAGCAAGGGTGACGGATGCGAAGCTCAGAGCGGCAACAGCCAGTGACGTTGATTGAATTATTGTCCATTGGTGGTCAGTCAGGCCGTCGGGAACGCGGTCCCAGGCAGGGCTCCGGCGAGCACTGATAATCTCGGATGCGGCCACAGCTGGCGGTTGCCATGCATCAGTGATTTCCAGTGCGGAGGGCCAGGGTGCCATGGCGGCTGCGTTCTCCTGGACGCCTGAGCCTGGAATCGAGGAGAAAAGTTGGTTCACGTGGGAGGCTTCGGATTCCTCATGTTGATGTGTGTGGCGAGGAGGTCGTACCAGTCGGTGATACTTGTGTTCACGATCGAGTCGTCGGCGGGGTCGAGTCCGGATCTCTCAGGGCTACCTCCAACCTTTCCGTTGCCGATGCATCCACCTCTTGATGTGCGATGGCTGTTTCCAAACTCCTTCGATAAGTATCCTGGCCCCAGAAATTTGACCTTCCTCAAATACGCAGTCGTGAAATCGAGCGTCCTTTATGTCGAAGTGTGGGCGCAAAGGAGTGCCGAAAAGGTATATATAGCTGTGTCGCTCCGCCGGAAACAGACGTCACTTTATTCGATGGTCGACCCTGGCAATGATCACAAAGCGTAAAGCGAGCGTGTTCGCACCGAGCTTGTCCGTCGAATGGCTATCAAATTCAGTCGATAGATGTGGGAGTTTTCTCTTTGAGAACCGGTGGGTGGGCGAAGTTGGAAGGGAAGGGATGATGGCGGATATAAGAAATGGCGGTGCATGGGAATACAAGCGCCTAGCCTCTGTCCGCGCCTTCAGCTCTGGCAGCAACGCAGGCGTGGAAATTGAAGTC